AGATCGCGAAACGCGGACCGCGGGCTGACCCCCGCGGTCCGCGTGTTTTAGGAAATAAAAAACGCAGTATGGAATAATCTACCCAAAAGTGCGAACCAAACGGTATGACGGCGTTTTCAAAACGCCGCCTGCACTTATAAGCTGCCCCAAACGGGCCCTAAATCTACCTTTTGATCGGATTTAATAAATCCGGATTTAAGTCAAAATTGCGAAGAAAATTGGGTTTAGCGGACCGTCAGATTTAACTTTCAATTTTTTTTTTTTTTGCATTTGACTGGATTTATGTTAAATAGTGGCGTAAATTCTACTAAAAGTATGCTATCAAACGCCCTCTAAGCATAAAAAATCTTATTTATACCCCGCAGTACTAACTAATAAAAGCCTAAATTGCCCTTAGGTGCTTGTCTAATAGATTCCTTAATAAAGTTTATGTTAGACCCCACCAATGCCATATTGCTTATTCCTCACCTTTCTGTATAGGGATTCATCAAAAGTTTATATCAGAGTTCCCCGACACTTTACCACATATTCTTCATCCTTATTGTTCAGGTCCAAAGCAGAAATAGAAATGCACGTAACATTAGATGCCAACAATTGAAATATTACAGCAGCTTAACTCTAACCTCTATCAAAACATGGATCGTTCTAAGCCATCTAAATATGGCACACCAGCATGGAAACAGCTATCTTGGTAATGAAGAGGTAGGCCATGGAAAGTCCCAAAGCACTATATGGTCAAAAAGCAACAGTAGAGATTGGTTGTCCAAAGGAACACTACATTAGTAGAGGCAACTCAAAATCACCCAATGGGAGATATGACAGCTAAAGCATAGGAGATTGCGGCCCTCGATCCCAAGGAATAGAGTGAGCCAAATAGGAAAGCTAAGGTTATTCTGTTAATTAAACCTGCCAATAGTAGGCATCCACAAATTGGAGTTAAATCTCAGATAGAAGCAGGAAAGATGGAAAACGGGTGGCAGATTTGCAAATGGGGTTGGCAAAAAATAAATTCATGTTAAGCATAGTATTTAAAAGTGGGTGGAAGCCAAGAAGGAAACATCCACAAGCACAACCCCACACCCGTAAGATGGATTCTCCAAATTATACCCAGAAAGGACTGAGAAGCTATCAATAAGTCATAGGTTGCCTTTGGAAGAATTGGCATGGATAATTTTAGGCTAGGGATACTTGTCCCTTCTCTAATAAGTAAACGCCAATGAGGAGTACAAGCAACATCCACTTGCTTACCTTCATGTATGGTTTCATTCAGCCTCAAAATGGCACAGTCCCAAAATGAATGGGAGAAATGATATTGCATGCCAAATAGTAGAAGGGCATCCAATCATAAAAAACTTGAGGGAATCATTCAGATCAAAAGGGATGGAGCTAGGAAGGGGGGATGAAGGTTGGACCACAGATACAACCTGGCAAATATAATTCTAGAGTTGTTAGCTGTGACTGTAATATTGTCAACGGCTAATAGTACTCAACAGAATTATCAATCTTAGAAGTTCCCTCAGGGATCAAACAAAAAAAGCCAAGAGTTCAGAAATTCAAACAAAAGGGGAATAGAGGAAAGATTTTCCTAGACTGGAACAAACAAAGAAGGCCAATTCAGTTGAAACGTTATTAATCGGCTCAATATTTTTTTTTAGTGGGTGTTACATGTCCTATCACATGCACTATGTTTCAACAATAACATCCAATATTAATATGATATTGAACTAGTACAAGACACCTCTTAATCTGAAACAAAGACAAAAAAAAAAAAAAAACACATGTAAAATTTCTTTACAGCTCCTCTACTCATTTACACATACATGTATCAATAAATTTAACACCAGTAAGGAAGAACGTTAGCGATGAACCAAATTAAATAAAAAAAAGCAAAAAATAGCCTATAGGAATTACTACCCAGCTCAAGTGTTTTATTCCTCGAAGAGTTCTGTAAAGATGATAAGGATGCTTTTCCTGAGTAGATCTTGTTAATACAATGATAACCCTGGACAAGTTAGAAATTTAGCAATTGAGCTGAAAAGATAATGAAACTTCAAATTTATGCCATTCAAAAAAGTCCAGAATGATATATCTTACATCATATTTTTTTAAGTAGGTTTCCTTTTCTTTTAGGAAGCTTTCAGTTATAGAAGTAGACCAAGGATCTACACATAACTGTTCCTGCCTTTCATTCACAATTTTGTCAGCCTGCAAATAGAATAATCAGGAAGGAGAGAGAGAGAGAGAGAGAGAGAGAGAGAGAAGCAAACAAATTAGCTATTTTCATCTGGATAATCTAACACGTATACTTTAGTTTTGACATTTATAACACCCAAATCTTTCTTATCACTAATACTACTATTTTAAATTTTAAAAGTGAAATACACTTTTTCATGCCTAAGTAAGATAGCATAGATGTAAAAATTACAGTTTAGGTGTTAGATAAGTAAATACATACGAATTAAGTGGTATGTATGTAAATCTTCCAAACTTTTGTATAACTAAATTGAATGCAGACTATTTACAAACTAGTAGTTTCCTTGTGTTACTATTTCAAAGAAAATTATCCAGTTATTTTAGCATTAAAAGAAGCTTGCTTACATATTGCATTCTGTATTATGAAATACCAAATGTCTTTTGAAGGTCGTGAAAAATAACGTTTAAAGATAGAAAGAGCCAAACAAATTAATGATCGTATGATAAAACAAATATATAAAGAAAAAGTTATCAGATTATTGTGCATCAAGTTGGTTTTAAAAAACTAGTAAAAGACATTATTCTAATTTGAAATTGAATTAGTCGTAAAGTGTAAACCTATCATGTGAAATTCGACCTTCTCTAAAATTAACTTGTAATTAACTTTGCTGTAAATGTATGAACAAAGGAAAAGAAAAGAACATGTTAATTATTGGAATGCAATCATATTAACATTTTGAATAAACAAGCCTTAAATGCAAAGCAGTTTAATGAATAATGAAAACACGAGAAGTCAAATTTTAAATAACACTTGGTTATGTAAAACCCAAAGTATAACTGACACAAAATAAAATATAGTTCATCTGACCATTTTTAGGAAAAAGAGCCAGAAAAATAATAGCTTTAAAATATTTAAATTTTGGTTTTAATGACTTCGATCATGAATATTATGATTGCTAATCAGAAAGATTTACCAATACACAAAATTATCATTTGCTGCAGATTGTGATTTAATTTGTAGAAGTAGCTTCTGTCACTTACAAAATGTATCCAATATGTGACTTTTTTGGTAATACTCACATATTGGATACTTACAAAATGAGATACTCCAAATTTACAGATCATTAGACATATGTCAATTAGAGAGGCTAATGCAATTTGGGCTTAGTCGTGATTAGGTTAAACCATATTATTAAAATCTGGATTTACTCCAGTTTCATATTATTAAATTTTTGACAAAAATATTAATACAATGATTGTTGATGCAAGAAAGTTTAAAATTATACAGAAATGTCATATACAGTTAGAATTGATTATGACTGTAGTTATAGGGCATCTTTTGTCAGTTGGTTGTCTACATCTTTTGTAATACTCGCATATTAGCCAACTTCAATGAAAATGAGATATGGAAAATTTAAAGATTATTAGACATGTGAAACCTTTAGAGTAGACTGAAGCTAGACTGTTAAACATCAAGGCATCTTTGGGTGTAATTGCTAGAATTTCATCAGAAACTCCAAAATTAACCATGCTTTTATGGGAACATGATCGGAATGGTCGATCTCATGGGAGGTTTCACCAATGGAGTAAAACTGTGAGGACATTAGGCTCAAAATGAATAATATCTGGATCAGTAAGAGTTCAAGCTAATGCAAATGATATCAAAGCATTGCACCAACCTCAAGATGGAAACTAAGTGTCAACAACAACAACAAACATTTATCTCACTAAGTGGGGTCGACCACATAAATCAATTTTCTCCATTACATCCTATTGAGTGCCATATTTTCATTTAATTCTAAAAAATTAAGATTATTTTTTATACAATATGCCCAAGACTTTCCTCTGCCTTTCTTAACATAAGTAACATAAGTCGATCTAAAACATCTACTCTCCTAACAGGATCATCAGATATTCAACGTTTAATGTGACCAAATCATCTAAGGGGACTCTATAATTTTTTCCGTCACTGAAGCTACACCAACCCTATCACAGATATATTCATTTCGCATTTTGTCTCTAAGTGTAAAGCCACTCATCCACCTAACCATTCTCATCTCGACAACACTTAAACTAGTTTTATGCTTCTCTTTTAAAGGCCAAAATTCTACGCCATAGAGCATTGCAGGTCTCACCACCATCTCATAAAATTTTTCTTTCAGTCTAAGTGGTACTTTTCTATCACACAAGAGGCCCGAAGCAATCCTTCATTTCAACCAACCAACTTGAATTCTACTAATAGCATCCCCATCTATATCACCATCACTTTGACCAATAGACTTGAGATATCTAAAGTGTTCACACCTTTTAATGATTTGATCACTCATAGTTACAACTTTGTCACTATAGATAGTACTAATAAATTATATTCTATGTACTCAATTTTAGTTCTACTCAAAAGAAGGCCATTAGACTCCAATGTAGACCTCTATAACTTCAAGTTTTTCCTAAATTTTTTCTTTAGTCTTATCCACAAGAAGGACATCATCAACAAAAAACATAAACCAAGGTACATCCTCTTGTAAATGTTCAGTGAGAACATACATAACTAAGGCCAAAAGAAATGGGCTTAAAACCAATCGCTGATGTAATCCAACTGAAATAGGAAAATATTTGGTCAATCCTACTTTCGAACACTGGTAATAGCTCTAGTATACATATCTTTAATGACTTGAATATAAGTCATATCAACATTTTTCTTCTCTGGAACTCTCCAAAGGACATCGCTTGGAACCTTATCGAAAGCTTTTCTAAATAAAAAAAAAATCATACGTAGATCATTTTTATTCTTTTTGTACTTCTCAATAAAACCTCTCAATAAATGTATAGCTTCAATAGTAGGCCTGCCCAACATAAATCCAAACTGATTATGAGAAATCTTTATAATACGTTTAATCCATGTTCAATTACCCTCTCTCATAATTTTAAGGTATGACACATCAACTTAATTCCTCTATAATTTGCACACACTTGTGCATCCCTTTATTTTTAAAAATGGGAACCAAAATACTTTTCTTCAACTCCTCAGACATCTTTTTAGTTTTTAAAATAATATTAAAGTGTTTATTAAGCCAAGAACTCCCAAATCTCCTAAATATTTTTGCATTTCAATTGAGATATTATCAGAGCCTATAGACTTTCCATCCTTGGTTTATTTTATTATTAACGATATTAAGATCGCTAAGGTCAATCGTATTTTCAGAAACTTCATTGAAAAGTTTATCAAAATACTCACCAACCTATGTTGAATATTTTCTTCTAAGAAAAACATTTTTTATTTTCATCTTTAATACTTTTCATGTTTATTAGACTTTACTTGAGTTAAATCTTTACTTTTCTTTTATTTGTTTTCTTTTCTTTGTTTGTTTAGTATATAGATATATTTTTCACCTTCTTTAGCATATGATTTATTATAAAGATCACTAAAAATAGAATTTTTAGCGTCACAAATTATTCTCTTAGACTTCCTACGGGTCATTGTATATTTTTTTAAGCTCTCTAAACTTTTACATTTAAACCAATTTTTATAACACAATTTTTTATTTTTAATCTTTTTTGCACATTATTATTCCACCACCAACTATTTTTTTATAGAAAATTTTCATTTTGATTCTCTAAGTATACCTTTTGCCACTTCTTTAATAGTGTTTTTTATTTTATCCCACATAGAATTTTCTTTTACATGAGCATCCCAAATCTTGAAGTTTACTTATAAAAATAATTTTATTTGTCTTTTAGATGTCTCTATCTAATTCTATGATAATAATTCCTAGTAATTTTATTTTACAACCCTTCATCTCAAAATCCAGAACTAATAATCAATTTTGAGTACTTAAATTCTCACTTGGAATGACTTTATAATTTTTACATTCTCGAAGATCTCTTCTTCTAATAAGAAAATAATCAATTTGTATTTTATTAGATCCATTCTTATAAATAATAATATGCTCAACGATTTTCTTGAATAAAATAGTCGCAATAACAAAATCATAAGTTGAAACAAAATCTAATATGACTCCACCTTCTTCATTAATCACTCCAAAACCATAACCACCATGAATATTTATAAAATCTTCCACCACTCTACCGACATGTCCATTTAAATCTCCTCTAACAAATTTTTTTTCTTCAAGCTCCTTCTTCAAGAGATATTTTTTTTATTAATTCTTATAGGTCATTCCAGAATTTTTTTTTAGAACCTATATCTAAATCTACTTGAGGAGCATAAGTACCTATAATATTAAAAATCTTAGTATCAACAATAATCTTAAGGGCTATAATTTTATCTCTTATTATATTAATTTTTATAACATTATCATTCAAACTCTTATCAGTAGTTACATCTGCACTATTTTTAGTGCAGCTCCTACTTGAATGACAAAGTTTAAAACATAAGCTATCTCCTTAGCCGTTTTTCCAACCTATTTAGTTTCTTGACTACATGAGATAATTATCTTTCTATGAACTATAACATCAACTATTTTCATTAATTTATTTATGAGAGTATCTATATTCTAAGATTATATCATAATACTAATTTCATGAACTAATTTTTTACTCGCATTTGTCCATAATTTCGGAACCCCTCCGTATTTGACACTACACCCTGGAACAGGAGTAGCGTTGCACACTTTTCAATCTATTCAGGTCATACAATGTCACTTACAGGGGACATCCTAGCATTTACAAGAGGATCAAACGGATTCACGTCATGATTTTTTGACAAATTTTACACTAGCTGTCAACTACATAATGCAACCCTTTAGTTTTCACATTCGGTGCTTAGAACCCAACAAACTAAGTGTCCTATTAAATAAAACATTACAACAACGGAACCACCTCTTAAACCTTAGAAGGGATAAAGTACTATATGGTGGAAGCCACCTCTTGAATTTGAGCCACCTCCAGAATCCTATTAGCTTGGTAGATGATTTTGGTTAAGAAAACTGGTGAGAATGCAATTAATTAAGGCTCCGTTTAGCGCATCTTATTGGAAGCGGCAGCGTTTTGAA